ACATAAATTTCAGACAAAATTCCTTTGACGCCAATTTTGTCCACGTTGGATACGTATTGACTGTACTATGAGTGTTACATTTATATCTAACAAAAGTTTATTTAAAATCAACTTATCAAAAACATAATATACATGCATTGGTTATGTCAAACTAAAATCAATGTCATTAATGATAAAACTAACAAAACTCAAAAACTTTACAACACATATTTCAGAGTGAATATTTAATAATTTGTCTTTGTATTTATTTTGGTGAATATAGACATAATCGTGTTGAAATACATAGATGTACCATAAGAGATAAAGAAATAATTTTATTAAAATCCTGTGTCAGCGGTATAGTTTTCACATTTAGTAGCTGTTTTTTTTCAGTTTTCGCAATATAAAATTTCAAACAAATACGGTTACATTGACCCTTTAACCCTTTTGTTACATTGAATTTGAATGTTATTATATACTATCTGTTGTACCCGTGCTTTGCAACGGGAAGAAGACACAAAATAGAAACATTTTAATCTTTATATCTGTTGCATATAATAGTTACACATCCCCCAACACTTTTAGAAACAAAATTCGGTACTTTCCTGTTAAAGGGAACATTCATTATTATCGATGATTTTTTTCTCGATATATCGATATTAACAAATTGAAACATATCAGCTGACAACTACGATTAATATTGTTCGGTATCAACAAACAATAATAAAATGAAACTGTTCTAAAAAATAACCTAACATAACTAACCAAACTTGCTGTGTAACATTTAAAAATTCCGTGTTTACCTTGCCTTTTCTGTTATCAAAAGGAATTTTTAAATACCTAGTACAACAAGTTTGGTTGGTTATGTTAGGTTAGCTTAGAACAGTTTCATTTCTTAATCCATTAAGCCTAAACAAGATCAGTTGTCAATTTGTAGTGGACCAGAAAACAAAAATATCGATATGAGAAAAAATCATCGATAATAATGAATGTTCCCTTTAACAGGAATGTACCCAAAATCAGCTTTTATGCCCTTAATAGAAACGTTTAAGTAATGACTTTTAAATCTGGTAAGTAGAGGATACCACCATTTCATCTCCCTTAATTACATATCTTTTTATTTATTATATTGACATTTTAAATTTAAATTTTGAAGTTACTACTTATTATTAAATTTAAATTAACATTTTTTTTTTAATTTAACTCTTTTTTTATATTAAATCACAAATCCTTCCATATGTTTCATTGTATCTCTGATTCTACTCTACAAAAATATCAACAAACAAATTTAATATACAATCCAGTTCTTTTAATCAGTTCCATTGTCCATTGGCTTTACATTTTCACACTTACCATAAAGTAAACATAGTAACAGATATTTCATTGATTTTAGAAACAAAAGAACACTGTGTACTGCTTAGTTTTATGATATTTTCCTTGGTTTAATTTAATCAGTGATATGGCAAAACACAAATAATAAATGTATCAAATAAAGTAAATGTGAACTAAAAGCTATGTTAAGATAAAATAAGAGTATTTTGTATTACCATTTGATAATTAATTATAGTTACACATATACAACAGATTTTAAAAAGCAAAAATCAACGACATCACAGTACAGTTTAGTTATTGATGATATTCTTTAGTTTAATTTATGCATAGGTTTAGCAAAACACTATAACTTAATTTATCTAAATATACGTATATAAAAAACAATGTGATGTGCAAGTTATATTAAGTTAATCTAACACATGTTAAGGAGTTCGAATTTATTTAAAGTAGCCTCCAAATTCATATAAAACATCTATACATTGTAATTTTCATACTGTTTCCATGAAATCATATTAATAACATTATTTTCATAACTTAGACGCTTTAAAAAAATCCAAAGCAGAGCTGGAGTTGATACAGCAACGGTTATAGAACCTATAGGGAAGTAGCTATTACCATAGACTAACCAACACAAGTAGACTTCTCATCCCATTGTAAATTTTGAAGCACGTTTTTTGTGTCTAGTTCATGTACGGTGACACTGGGCGCTAGTGTCGACGAAAACTTTGTTTCTATTATTTTAGGGTTAATTTCTTGATTTGTGCTTTACTGTTTGGTTATATAACTAGGGGACAAGTTATTGTTTATGATTAGATCATATTACTTGGTTAAACGAGGTTTTAAATGGCTGCAACAATGGGAAACAAATTGTAAACAAAACACGACCTCTACATAAACCGTACAGAACTATAACAATAAAATTGTCTTCAGCTGTTCCATAAGGATGAGAAATCTACTAAGGGAGTATGTTTTATCTATGCTATTACCGTAGGTCTCATGGTAAGACCTAAGCCCGGGACCGATTTACTTTTTCATTTTAATGTCCCCAGAGGCCAAAAACAACATTCGTTCAAATTTTTATATATCTATATATAGATATATATATATATGTGTCCATCCGCACGATAACTTGAGTAATTTTTGTCCGATTTTGATAAAATTTGGTTTGAAAGTGTAAGTTAGGATAAACTTGAATGAGTTCGCGAACCAGCATGATCGGACTATGGGAACGGGGGTTTATGGGGTTAAAATAGGTTTTTCCCATTTTGACCCTAAAAACACAAAATTTCACAATTTCTTTTTAAACCATTTTGTAGAGCTTAAAAAACAAATAATTTAGTAGCCTATATTTAAGCGTTATTATGCGCATAATTGTTACGGAGAAAATTCAAAAAAAATTGTAATTTTAAAATTCCCATGTTATTCTCATGGAGAATAAGTCAACTGCTGTAGTTTGCTTGTTTATGAACATATTTTTATCAAATTTGAAAAATACATTAATTTCTTACTAAACCACAGCTTTTTTTAACATTTTACATAAAAAAAACACTTTTTTACCCTCCCCGTTGCAGCAAACCTAAGTACTCATCAAACTAATTCTGTTTGAATAGGGAATGAATGTGATATTTTAGACATTTTAGTTTAAATCCAATCAGGCAAATAAAAATTCGCTAAGTCTGCAGGTTTGCTGCGGGGGGGGGGGGGGGTATTTTATATAATCATTGACATAGTTTTAGAATAAATAATCCATGATAAAAGGTTAGATTAAAATAAACCTACCTCATAGTTATGGAAAATATTATATTTCATTTCTTTGTATCAGCTGTCTGAAATTGTGAAATATGCAGTTTAGCAGTTGAGTGAAAATTTAAAAACGTACGTTTTCATGTCCCTGGCCTTTTACTTCGTAGATACTTGATTTGTAGTTTATTATTATGTGTTTTAATATTTTTTGGGACGGGGGCAACACGTTACACACATTTATTTGGTTTTAAATAGGTTCTAGGTATTTTTTTCGTATTTTTAAAGTCTCAAAATTCACGACCATGACGTGTCCCTAGGGTACATTTTCCAACTTTCACGCTGTTTTTAGACTAATTATTCATGCCGAAATATATAAAGCCATATTTTTATGTCATCAATGGTTATTAAACTTACAAAAAAGGAGCATATTATAATTTTATTGTCATTGCAAACTGACTACCATGACAAAATAAGTCTGTCCCTCGATTTGGCGTCACGACCATTTGGGAAAAATTTTCAACTTTGGAGCCCGACAGTGGCAAGCCTGGCGTCGATGGAGTCAGTTGGTTTGAGAGACTAGTTCGGGGTGTACGTCAGGATTGTAGTGCCGGTCGTTTCGAGTTGAAAGGAGGAATTACAAGATTAATAAAGGAAAGATTGTGTTTTTTGTAATTTTGGTGTGTCCATGACCGTACGTAGTCATTCGATGAAGTAGACATGGTGTTAATTTTTGTTTATAAGATATTTCAATTGCTAGATTAACCTAGAAGTCCACTTTGTATCCTCGAACATGAGGTGCAGGGCTACCGCCAGAACAGAGCCAAATAACACGTAATTTCACGACCAAAGTTTCACGACCATCGCGGGTTTTTTCACGACCAATCCAGCCTTATGGATTATAGTGTGTTTGGTCGTGACAATAACTTTAATATAATTGTGAATTGAACAGTTTAGTTCAATTGAAACACATATTTTTATTATAACTAACAGTATAATTGAAGGATTGCCTAGAAAGATTTAAATTATCCCAGACAATTCACGACCGTACCGCTTGTCCCTGACCATCACGTTTATGATTTCTATCATAACAATTTCAAAAATTAAAATATCGTCATATTTCAATGTTTTATACACAAAAGAAGCACACCTCTATACAAACATAACGATTTTTCGGGTCTCAGGTAAGTTCTTTCGTAGTTATACAAACTTAAAAAGATTTTATTGGCTTTATTTCAATTTTTTGAGTTTTTTTATTTTTTTCTGGAAAGACCAAATATACTAAAAGTTTAGTGACCTTTTTATTGTATAATGGTCATAAAAGTAAATTAGTTTATAGCAAAACATAGTTATAAAAATAATATTAACCATTTTTAATATTCATTTAAACGTCCGTTATGGTCGTGACAGGATTTTGTGTTTTTCCACTAAAGATGCTCTTTTAAAAAGAAACTACCAAAGATATTGCGTTACCATGGACATTTTATGAAACTTCAAATGTTAATGAAATAAAAATAATAATAAAAGTTTTGAAAAAAGGGGAAAAAAATTTGCAAAGTGCTTTTTCTGAAAACGTACGTTTTTAAATTTTCACTCAGTTCTTCTTGTTTACATTTAAATGTCAAAGCAAATGTAAACAAACATTGTTAGTGTTCTCATCGCAGCCATGGAGACCAATCAATATTTACTTTTAAAATCTTCACCTCACAATGTTTAAAGCCAAAGGGGCAAAGCCTTCGGTCAGTATCGAAACGTGAATAGTCCTATAATGGTCCTTGGTATGGTAACTATATTTTTGTAAAATTTTAGCCCAGTTTGTTCAGTAGTTTTTGCACCTATTAGTAATACACATACAGACAGACACCATTAGATTTTTATATAATAGTATAGAAGATGTTAAAATACTATGTATCCATATCTACTAACCAATCAACTTTTTTGTCTATCAGCTACCTTCCACCCATAGACACAGTGTCAGACCTGGTCAATAGAGAACTTCAATGGGGTGCAACTCATGATGCTTGGATCTTCTCCCTCCGTGAAGCCACTGAGACTCAAATGCACACTTTAGTCAGCAGATTCCGGGCCCTGACCAAGGAACAGCTCTACTACAACTCTCTGACTGCCAGCTTTGCGTTTTCTGTTGAGAGGCTTCCAGCAGGTTTTACACTCACAGAAACTAAACTTATATTAAGAATCACTATCAATAAGTGCACCAAAACCAAAACTAATTGTATGGCTACATACAACTGCCGTCTTGGTATCAGAACAAAATTCCTATTTAGAATCATAAAATAGCCAGTTTGATCATAAGAAAAGTCTGTAAGTTTTTGAACCCAACATTCATTGATCATGGGCTGGATATTAATGATTGCGGCTAAACAAGCTTTGGTACAGTCTGCCAATATTTAAAAAAAATTATCTCACATCTATTCCATACTCATAGCAATTCATGTTTAATATAGGAAAACCTGAGTTCTATTTACACCTTACAAAAGCGAAACATTGAACTAAAAATTGTGTACCGGTAGCTATTTTTCACAATTTTTATGATATTAAAATGAAATTTGTAATATTCACATTGAAACATGAGTTTTGGTGAAACTTGATATAAATGTTTACTTTTACTACTTTTAGTTAGGCCTATTGACATTACATTTGTAACCAAAGTCCCAACTCCATTGATCAAAAGGATGAAGTCCTTGGAAGCACAAAATCAATGGTGGGATTCCGGAGGTGGAGGACCATACAATAAAAAGGCAAGAGATGGCTGGACACAAAATATACATTTATTAATATAAATAACCAAATAAAATAAAATAAATAACAAGTAATAAACTCTTTAACTTAAATCACAAGTAAAAGCCCTAGCCAAAAGAATAACCTAAATTAAAAAGATTTCAAAATATCATAAAATTTCATTTAAAATGCTAAATATTTATTTTATTTTTTAATTAGGCCTAAGTTTCTATTAAATTAAAAATAAAAGTTTAAGTTACAAAATTCAGATTTACGATTTAAGTTACGGTTAGGTGGCCACCTTGAAATAATCCTTTAAAATAATTATATAGCCTATACATTGAAATAAACTAGTGGTCATCCAGTGGTCTAAAACTCAAACAAAATAATGTAATGTACAGGCTTCTCTATTTTCATCCCTTGCTGTAAATAAAACTTGTGATTGGAATTTCTTCCATTTGTTTTGATTTTCTGTTTATATTTTATTGTTATTTCGTCACCAGCATGACAACCCATAAGACCCATGTTAATTTTTTTTTACATTTTAAATTAATTTTTGTGCTTATTTTTTATTATATTTTAATTTATAAAGGGATTCTGCACACCTACAGAAAAATATCTTTCTAACAGTATGCGTAGATTTTCCCTATGGACACGAGCTGAGAAAAAAGGTTTTAAAGAAACATGCTTGTTGTTATGTAAGTTTTCAGGAAAATGTTTTTATTTCTTGTACTGTATATAATTTATGCATTTGTATTTGCCGCTGACAGAGAGAGAGTAGGGGTTTTCAATTGAACCTAGTGGGGTCAGCACAATGCCAATTGGTTAACTTGGCGGAAGGATATTTTTGCGAAGTTTTAGCGTCGCATCGGGACGCTTGGCCCCAGTCTGTTGGTTGCCGGGTTTACCTAACACATGTCACTCTGACATAATTAATTTTCTCTGCCATTGCGGCTATCCCTCTCATAGTTATAATTCTCTATTACAGTAGAACCCCTCATATCCGACCTTGGTTTTACCGGTCCTCTGTTTATCCGGCCCCTTCCAGGAAGCCAATATCAAAATTTTTTTCTCACACCTTACAGACGTTTAGATACAAGCACTAGTCTTTGTGACTGCTCAAGTCATAAAATAAATTGTTCTCATTATTTATCTGTTTGTTTATACATTTATTTGCTGAGTCACTATAGTCAGTTGAGCTAGTAGGCCTAACCTCTGATCAGTTGGCTGATTATTTCCAAAGTGGATTTAGTACAGTACAGTACGAGTACATTAATTTTTGTATTTCACAAAACGGTTAAGAATGTTGAGTAGAAATGCAAGCACCATTTAAGTCCTAATGATCTTTAAGTACAATTTATTGTCATGTTTACCTCCATTTAATATGTTTTGTTACCTGGAATCATAATATTTGTACATTCATTACTTACAGTAATGACTTTAACCTACAAATATTTTTTTTCCTTTTTACAGACATGTTTTTTTTTTCTAAAAATGATCCCAGAACACAATTAAATGATACTTTTGATTGCATATATTGATTACCTATTATTATTAGGTATGAATTGTCATTTTCATAGTAGGTTGGTTTATCCGGCCAAATCGTTATCCGGCCAGGGGCTTGGTCCCGTGGTGGCCAGATATGAGGGGTTCTACTGTATTGCCACTCGGAATAGTCCGTGGCCCCTTTAGACAGTACTCATAACATTTTTTCCTCTTTAAATTAAATTAATTGTATTTAACTAGTGTAAAGTCAGTTTTAGCAGTGAATCCTCCCATTCCGGTCTACCGCGGTCGCGTAGAAACTTCTTGTGAGCGCTCATTTTGGACTGTATGGACTTTAGACGTGCGTTATTCCGACATCAAGATCAAGACACCAACGTAAGAAGATAGTGTCTGGATGTATGTTGTTGTGCCTTCGTCTTGAGGACATTCTACCATCTACCATCGCAACTCGACCCTGCGGCGCTTCCTTTCCGCTCACTACCTACTTCCGACATAATTCCAAAGGTACATTCATCCATAAATCATTATTAATTAACCCCATATTAATCATTGGTCCTTCGAGCCGGATTTATTTGAATTAGTCCTGTGGGATTTATGTTTCATACAGTCAACTTTGTCAGAAGTCTAAAAATATTTATTATTCAATTTTCAATGTGTCTATCAAAACTGAAAAGAAGAGTAGCTCGCCATATTGGCTTCCTTTCTTCCTTAGTTTGTTGAACACGAAGGGCGGGGCTTAACTGTAACTACCAAACGTGCATGCGCAGCTACAACCATAGTTACAAACAAACTTCAAACGTACGTTGTGGCATTACAGCTCCCCTCTCTCTCTCTCCCCCCTCACTCTCTCACTCTCTCTCTCTCTCTCTCTCGCTCGGTCTGCAACATGTGATTCTAGGGTAACGCTAGGGCTACTGATACAATATTATTTCTCTAGCATAGCGCATTGTTACGAACGTCCGTTCTGTCAGCTGTGCTGAACGCGAAGGCAGACGATTCACTAAAAATAGAAACCATTTGTTTAAATTCTAACAATCTCGTTCAGTTAGGTTTACAAATAAACTACCTTTTGTATTTCAATCTATATGTTATGTGTTACTTGTTTACGCTCAGATTAAAGGTATCTTAAATGAGTCGACAACTTATTTTGTAAAAGGGAATATTAATACCATTCGAGAGTTCTTTAATACTACAGTATATAATTTAATTATGTTCTTTGACTGTATAATAAGTAGGGATGGTCAAGTCTCGAAATTTCGGGAAATTTTCGGGAAATTTTAAATCTCGTTACACGAGACGAGATTTCTTTTTGGCCGAGATTTTTACCGAGACGGGAATAAAAAAAAAAAAAAAATTAAAAACGCCTGCAGAAAGTCAATGCAATACCCGCAATACAGGAGCGTGTTGTAGTTGCGTTTCCTTTGTGAAGGCGTTCTTATTTTATTAATTCTTTAAATGTAAATATTACTTTAATTATTTTAATAATATTACTTTAATAACATTTGAGAAGTTTTGTAAAGTGTAAGCAGTGTGAGAAATGTTTTATTACTATAAAAAGTCAAAACAAGTTACTATTTTATAAAAAATAATATTGCTTTTATTTTATGATTTATTTTACTTTAGGATAAGTTGAACTCTATCCTAACTGATATCACTACTATGACTATGTTTCCTAATCGTAGGCATTTGAATAAGTTAGGCGTGATTAATACAAAAATGTTATGCTGATGTTTTTTAATAAAAGGGTGTAAATATTCTTGCCTATTATCATTATTTTTGTATTTAATCAGTCATCTAACAATGTTACAAAATCAGGTAAAAATTTTGAACGTGCATTTCCCGTTGTGTATGAGAAGGGAAATCCCGTCTCGATCTCGTCTCGAAATTTTATGAGAAATAAAAAATCTCGTCTCGTCTCGTCTCGAACTAAAAATCCAATCTCGTCCATCCCTAATAATAAGGAAACGTATCTTGTCAATTTAATCCATGTCAATGTTGTTTTAAGATAATCTAGTACCCAACAATATTATTTCGTTTTATTCGTGTTTCATTGTTGATATTTGTTTATTGTTTACTCTCGATCATATCCTGGTTCAATCTTTCAATTTATGCAACATATTTATGTTCAATGTCTAGACATTCAAAATAGGCTATTATTATTATTATTTATTATTATTTCTTTGTCATGAGAGCCGAAGCCCCTGACTGCGTACCCGGTACCTATCCTTGAGGACATACCCGGGCCCCATGATGTAGGCCGAAGCTTACGCATCAACCTTTAGCACATCATGGGCGGATGACTTAAGGTCATCAGGCTCGCCGGCTGCCGAAGCAGACCCTTCGGAAAGAGGGTTGCCCCTCAATCCTAACCAGGGATTCCGGCTGCTTGTTTAAGCGTCACTCCACCTGGGTTCCACCAGGTACAAGCCCTAGAGGACCATAATGGAGCGCCCCGACGCATTTAGTGCAAGCAACACTCGGGACCTATCTAATCCCTGACAGGCAGAACCCGCCATCATAGCCAGAAGGAAGGGGACCGTCAGCACGCTGACGGGGGGAACCCCAACCTCCCATTTACACCACTACCCGATCGAGGCCTTACCCATTGCTGGGAAACCAGAGATAACCAGAGCGATAGATCCCCAGATACCCCTGGCGGGCTCGGACCCAGCACCCGATCTACTTCGTTTGCCCGTCAGACCCAACATCACTGCCAGGCCATCAGGGTTTCCCAAAAGGAGGCAGGTATAGAAGTGGGACCCACCCGGATGAACCTATCCACCAGAGGTGGCGACACCCTTGACTCAATTGAGGTTCCGGGAAAAACCCCCCACACTCAAGATAACCATACCGTCCGTGCTCAGAGACAGGGATTGGTTTGCATAAGTGCCTACAAACCGTTACCCTCACACTGCG